TAAGTGGATAGTATTACAATTCACTGATTTAAAAAAAAACAACAACAACAAAGCAAGGGTGGCGCCTTGCTGGCTCAGTCTGTAGAGCATGTGACTCTTGATGTTGCGGTCGTGAGTTTGAGCCCCACAATGGCGTAGAGCTTACTTTAAAAAATAAAAAGAATACAGAAGGAGGAACGGACAGTGAGTTAAGTTTGACACACTAAGTCTGGAATATCTACCTGAAGAATTCTCTCCAGTAGGGAGCTAAGGAAGGGGTTGTAGGTATATATTAGGGATTGTTTGTATATCATTGGCCATAGATGAGGTGGCCACAGGAGAGCCTGTAAAATAAGGTTATTGCCAAAAACAGAACCCTGGATGAATATCTTTTGGGATGCAATAGAGAAAAGTAAATAGTTTTGTTCTTTTTTGTAGAAACCACTTGTTTTTTTCTAATTTTTAAAAAACAGACTTTATTTTTTAGCGCAGTTTTAGGTTCACAGTAAAACGGAAAGTACAGAGATTACTTCTATAATCCCTGCTCCCACAAATGCATAGCCTTCCCCACTATCAATATCCCTTTTCTGTTTTAAGTTTATTGAGTTAAAGTTTACACACAGTAATATGCAGCCCTTTTAGGTGTATAGTTCTATAAGCTGTAGTGAATATAAACTCTTACATGACAACCACCACAATTAAGATACAGAATATTTTTACCATTCCAGAAAGTTCCTTTGTACTTTTTTTTTAGTGAATCCTCTCATCTCCTTCCTAGCCCCTGACAACCAATGATCTGATTTCCATCGCTATAGTTTTCCTTTTCCGGAATTCCATATAAATGGAACCTTACGGTATGATGGAGTTTTTTGTGTCTGGCGTCTTTTACTTGGAATAATCCATGTTATTGTGTGTATTAATAATTCATTCCTTTTTACTGCTGAGTAGTATGCCATTATATAGCTATATGGCAGTTTATGCACTAAGTGGTTGATAAACATTTATATTCAGTTTTTGGTGATTATCAATACTGCTATAAACATGCACAAAGAGGCACAGGTGTTAATTTTTCTTGGGTAAATGCCTAGGACTGAGTCATATGGTAGGTGTATATTTACCTATGAAATTTACAAAAGACAGCTAAAGTGTACCACTTTGCATTCCCACCAGCAGTGTATGGGAGGTTTTCAGTTGTCACGCATCTTTGCGAATTCTTGGTATTCTCAGTATTGTCTTGTTTTTAATTTTAGCCAATCTTATTAGGTGTATGGAGGCATCCTATTGTGGTTTCAGTTTCTCTACTGGCTAATGAATTGAGTTTCTTTCACGTGCTTGTTTGCCACCATACTTTTTTTGGTGAAAATGCCCATTTTTTGAATTGGGTTGCTTGTTTCCTTAATGAGTTATGAGATATTCTGGGTAGATGTATTCTGGGTATAAATCCTTCATCAGAAACATGATTTGCAAGTATATTCTCCAAGTCTGTGGCTTGTGTTTTCATTCTGTTAGTAGTGTCTTTTGAGCAGAAGTTTCTAGTTTTGATAAAGCGTGTTTTATCATTTTTTTTATGCTACTTTTTGTATTGTAAGAAATCTTTGTGTCTCAGGATTTTCATAGATTTTCTCCTTTGTTTTTCTTCTGTAGGTTATATAGTTTCAGGATTTGCATTTAGATTGTGACCCATTTTGCATTAATTTTTGTATATGATGTGAAGTATTAGCTAAGATTCATGTCTTTACATAGGTATGGATGTCAGGCTAATTGTTCTAACACCATTTATTACCTTTCTCCATTGAATTACCCTGCCAACTTTGTTGAAACCAATTGGTCATATATATGTCAGTCTATTTCTGGATTCTGTTTTGTTCCACTGATCTGTATGTCTGCCCTTTACAAATATTGCAGTGTGTTGATTACCTGAAGCTACATCTGTTTTAGAGATGATTGTGTTATCTGTTAAGAATGCTCTTGGCAGCAAGGAACAGAAAAACCCTGCTTATAGTGGGTTTATTTTGTGTTAATAACAAGAAGTCTAGCAATAAGCGGTTGTTGGTTTATTTAAGCTATTCATCAATACCAGAGGTCAACAAACTATAGTCTGCTGGCCTAATCTGGCCTGCCACCTGTTTTGTAAATAACCTGCGGAGGTTCTTCAAAATGCATATGCCCAGCCAGGCTCTACTAGGGTGGGAGGTGAGGGGAGGGAGGAGCAAATATTTGAATTTTAAAATGCCTCCTGGTAATATTAGTAATTATACTATAGAGTCATGGTTAAGAACCATTAACCTAAGGTTGATTCTTAAGACTGTGGTCCCCAGACTAGCAGTATCACTATCTCCTGGAAATTTAAAAAAAATACACATTATCAGGTCCACTCAGAATTACTGAATTGGAATTCATTTGGGGCCCAACACTTTGCGTCATAAAAATTCTCCACGTGATTCTGATATATGTCAGAGTTTGAGAGCCTTGAAAGTCATTGTGAATTATTTCCCAGATAAGCCCAGGGAAGACTGTCTTTAGAAAGAAAACAACAGCGTACCTGGCTGGCTCAGTCAGTGGAGCGTACTGCTCTTGATATCAGGGTCATTAGATCAAGCCTCATGTTGGACATAGAGATTACTTAATAAAAAAAAATTCTTTTAATAAAAAAACAAAAAGCTTAATTGGTTTAAGTATGTGTATTGTAATGTCACAGACAGTAATTCTGAAATTAAATTGAAGGTTCACAAATGATCTAACAAAATTGTTGAGTACTATTTTGGACCTAATTATCCAAAGCATATGTTGCATTGCTATTTTTAAGCAGCTTTTAAAAATCACATGTTTGCATGTGAACATTTCTTTTTCCTAGTCCTTAAGGAAGAGTTAAGGAAATGGAACACAGTTCTTATGTTTATAGATTTTATAAATGAGAGAAGAATGCAAGATGAACATGTATAAACACAAAATACAAACCTATAAACATGTTTTCTCTCAGGGTTAGGTATATTTTTGTTATTGGCAAATAATATGAAAATGTAGGCAGTCTATCCAGCAGAAAACTTGAGTTTAATTACCCTGTATACCAAAGAACAAAATAGTACTTCATAATATGTAAAATGTCTTCTCTTTGATTTAGTTTGCTCTTTTAGTGATGGTTTCCCCAGTTATAATTACTAATTACCTAAACATGGAATTGAGTATCTTTTCTCCATCTGTGTTTAGGAAGCTGTAACTACTACTTATTATTCTTTCTCTCCCTTTGGAAAACAGACTATCAAATAGACCATCTTTTATTTACTGCAGGTGATATAGTAATTCTTCTCCAGTTCTGAAAGAATAAGAGGCTAATTGGAACTAAGCTGTGGTTTGTTTTTCAGATGGTTTAAAAACTTGTGAAAGGGGGCACCTGGGTGGCTCAGTCGGTTGAGCGACCGACTTTGGCTCAGGTCATGATTTCATGGTTTGTGGGTTCGAGCCCCGCGTCGGGCTCTGTGCTGACAGCTCAGGGCCTGGAGCCTGCTTCGGATTCTGTGTCTCCCTCTCTCTCTGCCCCTCCCCCACTCATGCTCTGTCTCTCGCTGTCTCAGAAATAAATAAACATTAAGAAAAAAAAATTAAAAAAAAAAAACTTGTGAAAGTAGAACTTATGAAAAAAGAAATTTGATTGCACTTGGATGTGTAAGATCAGGCAGAACAAAGAATTAAAATTACTTGACCTGCTTTTTAGTTCCATTAGCAGTGACTGTAAACATAAAATGAAATTCACGGAAATAAACATTGTAACCGAAGCCAAGAGGCTGAACACTTGTCTGGCCTTTATTTCTAAGGCAAGAGTAGCTGACATGTTAAATTTCCTTGGGAAATGTCAGCAAAAAAAGATTTAAAACTGTTTGTTTCTCAATTATAATTTATAGCCAAAGGAACTTGAAGCTTATAGGGTTATAAAACTATGTTTGAACAGGGTTCTTTGGTAGTCCAGAGGTGTCTGTTATTATTGACATTTTCTTCCTAACTTCTGTGTTGATTTTACTGAGAAGACCTCATTCTCTGTAACAATCTCCTAGCCCTACCCACTTTAACTTTTTGTCAGGTTTAGTCTTCAGAAACCCTCCTAAATCAGCCCCCTTTTTTGATTATGACTTTTCCTAAATTAATTCCTTTGTTAAAATTTTTTTAGTGTTTCTTGAATAAGCATTTAGTGACATTGCTGGGTTTTGTCACTTGTGGTTTTCCTTAGCATTGGAAAGCATTACTTCCTTGTTGAGCAACTAATAATAAACCATCATGACTCTAGACAAATAAATACTTGACATTACTGAAATGGAGTGCTTCTGTTGCTCAGGGCCATTTTATATGTACAAGCTTTATTCAGGTGTCTCAGAACTTTAAGAAACTGTTAATATCAGAGAAGTCTTCCTTAGACTTATTTATAGTAGGAATGGTAAAATACATGTGAAAATTTATTACCTACTAAGTCTGTTTCTATGATAACTTTGCAAGCGAACACATTTTCCCTTTTTCTTAAGGATAAGCGAAGCCCCTAAAGATAATCCCATTAGCAGCATTATTTCTCAGCAGAGAAATAAAATTATGAATATTTTCATTGCTAGTTGAGGACACTGTAGAAAACTTACGTTTTATCTCCATAATTTTATTTAAATTTTTTTTTAAATTTACATCCAAGTTAGTTAGCATATAGTGCAATAATGATTTCAGAAGTAGAATCCAGTGATTCACCCAACAAGTGTCTTCCTTAATGCCCCTTTATCCATTTCTAACAACATTGACAGAGTATCACATACATTTCCGGGCATTACTCTCAAATTCACTATACACTTTTTCATGAAAAACTGTATGTATTAAGGGAGCAGCTGCAGCTCTTACTGCAGATCTTGATTTATTCTGTTTTTAAAAAACATTCAGAAGATATCTTTGTATCAAAAGAAATGCTGACGATCTCTAGAACGTGGACCCATTTGAATTGGTACTGGCCTGTCTTTCTCACTTTGCTGATTGCATGTATTTGTGACCCTTAGATTATAGGGAATGGAAGTGAACAGCAGCTGCAAAAAGAGCTAGCAGATGTTCTGATGGACCCTCCAATGGACGACCAGCCAGGGGACAAAGAACTTGTGGAAAGGTCACAACTGGATGGTGAAGGAGATGGACCTCTTTCTAACCAACTCTCAGCTTCATCCACCATTAACCCTGTGCCATTAGTAGGCCTCCAAAAACCAGAGATGAGCTTGCCAGTGAGACCTGGACAAGGAGGTTAGGATTGCTGCATTGCTTGCTTTACTGAAGGTTAATGTTTTTATTATGTGAGTGTCCACCCTTATACTAGGTTTGATTCAGAGCAGGCAAAAAACATTATCTGTGTTTTCTAGAATCTTCAGATTTTAGATTTAAGGGGTTGTGTGAGGGGTAGGTATATGTACCATTCTGATTTCCCTTTAAATGTGTATCATTTATATCAAAGAGATAACAGTAGTTAAATGACATTGAGGTAGTCTTATTTCAGAATGTTTCAAGATTTTTCCAAGAAAGAAAGAATTTGAGTACAGTGGTGGAGATGTGGAAGAATAATGCTTGGGAAGAGATACTTGTTCCAGGCCTGAAAAGCTCTTTGGGAGTAGTTGCCAGGTTGAAAAAGGGAGGCAAAAGGCACCACAGAGGAGGGATAGGGCAGTTATAAAGGCTCACTGGGAAAGTAGAGTGTTAAAACTGTAGAACTTTATTGGGAAAGGGAAAGCAGGGGCATTGAGAAAACATAATAAAGTGGCTAAGATGATGAATGAGAGAAATAAAGCAGTGCAGATCAGAAAGAAGACAGAGATAGGATTTTTCAGAGTGACAAAATATTAAATGTTATTTTTTTACTTAAATACAAATTATAAAGTCAAAAAAAATTAGAAGAGGCAGAAATACAAATCAGATCTAATCTCAGATCACATTTTAAATTTGGGATTAATAGTAAAGCAATTCCTAAAAATTTTGGTGTCAGTGACAGAGTTTTAATATGAAATTTCTGACTTCAATGGGCATTTATTGTGGGGCAATGAAATATTATCTCAATGTAACCTGTAGATTTTTACTTGGTGTTCATGTCAACAAAATATCAGAATGAAAGTAACCGTCTATTAACATTTCTTTCAGATTCCGAAGGGTCAAGTCCTTTCACACCAGTGGCTGATGAGGACAGTGTAGTTTTCAGCAAACTAACTTATTTAGGCTGTGCCTCAGTAAATGCTCCCAGGAGTGAAGTGGAAGCATTAAGGATGATGTCCATCTTAAGAAGCCAGTGTCAGATTTCACTAGATGTAACCCTTTCGGTGCCGAATGTATCTGAAGGAACTGTGAGGTAAGACCAGCTTCCTGAAATGTTTGTACCGTTGGATCAGATTTCTGACCTATAGATTTAGAAATAATAATGAACAAAATACATAACTTCTTATTCATGTAATGTTTCATTCTTCTGGCACTTGTGTTATCTTGTCTTCCAAGGATTGTGATACTTATGCAAATTAGTCACTCATTAGAACAGTTTTTTTATATACATTTCCCCATGCCAATTATGTGTAGTACATTAAAAATTTAAATGTTTGGGGGTTAATTAAAATATGTTGGCCTGAAAATATGCCTAATAAATTTATTTATATTTTCCCTGTTCCACCATACAAATACTAGCTTGACACATTAGTTCAGCAAGAAGTTTAATATTGAATCTGACTGAACATATTAGAATCAATAATATTAACATTATCAGAATCAACACTTTTTTTAATTTATTTTTTTATTTTTTAAAATTTATTTATTTATTTATTTATTTATTTATTTATTTATTTATTTATTTATTTTTGAGAGACAGAGACAGAGCGTGAGCTGGGTAGGGGCAGAGAGGGAGAGGCAGAATCGGAAGCAGGCTTCAGGCTCTGAGCTGTCAGCACGGAACCCAATGCAGGGTTCCAACTCACCACAAGATCATGACCTGAGCCAAAGGTGGATGCTTAACCAGTTGAGCCACCTAGGCACCCCTTTCTTCAGTTAGTTTTATATCATGAATCTCTTTCCATATCAGTAAATTTGTGATGGTATATGATGGATTATTTAGAAATAACCAGTCTCTGGAGCACCTGTCTGGCTTAGTTGGTGGAGTGTGGAAGTCATGATCTCCGGGCTGTGAGTTTGAGCCCTACATTGGATATAGAGATTGCTTAAAAAAATATAGTCTTACAAAAACAAAAAAAAGAACCAGTCTTTTATATGAGACATTTTAGTGTTGTTGTTGTTGTTGTTTTTAATGAGAAAAGTACTAATAATGGCTAATATTAAGCTTTTATTAAATGGGTACGTAAGTGCTTTACCTATAATTCTCCTATAAATAGTTATGTTTGAGCTAAATTTTTGTATGTTTGAAATTTCCTTAGGATAAATTCCTAGAAGTAGACTTACTGAGTCAAAAGGTTTCCCCATTTTCATTGTTTTTGATACAATGCCAAATAGCCATCTAGAAATATTGATCTGTTTTGTATTTTTATCAGCATTGTATGAGAATATCTATTTCTGTGCCCCCAGAAACATTTTGGGTTTTCATGGTAGTAGAATTGTACCTATATGTGGATAATAGTAGGTTACTTAATATTTAATATTTCATTCATCTGCATGTATAATTCTTCTTTTGAGTTTTTAAAGAACCATTGCACTTAGACTCACAAATCCTAATTTTAATGGTATTTATTAATGTGAAACTTTTTTTTTTTAATGTCTGTTTATTTTGAGGGAGAGAGAGAATCCCAAGCAGGTTCCACAATGTCGGCACAGAGCCCAACATGGCTCTCACAAACCGTGAGATGGTGACCTGAGCTGAAAACAAGAATCAGACGCTTAACCAACTAAGCCACCCAGGCACCCCTAATGTGAAACTTTCAGTAAAATTTGTTCAGCTCTCATTTCTGTATGCTTCTTAGTCAGTAGTCATGCCCAACTGAAGTTATACTTTGTTCTGATATATTTTAATTCTATAAATATGCAAAAGCAATTTCTCTTGCCCTATGTTTTCAAAATTTTTATCTTATCACAGTGCCTTTGAATGTGAATTGGGTTCCCTTCCTATGTGTTTGCATTACACACAGGGACCCCTGGGGTTTCCCCATCTATGGCCTTGCCCATTCAGTGTTGAAATTGCCGTTTCTTTCCATTCCTTTCATATTTATGTCCTCATTGTCCAGGGCAGAGCCTGGAATGTTGTAGGAATCACAGAAATATTATTGAACCAATACATTTTTGAGTGAATGACACATCTTTGATTTTCGTAATGATGTCCTTTGATTCTAGTGATTATCTTTTTTGTAGATATTAACGTTTTGTACAGTCTCTCTTATTTGCCATGAATCAGAAGAACATGTTTCATTATGAGAAAGCACATCAGTTTTTTTTTTTTTTTTT